AGGAACAGTGGACACTTGTTGATGAATTGACCTGAAGAAGACAAAAGTACCAATTTCAGGAAATACTAGAACATATGTTTTAGAGCAAGATAACTGGGTAGGCTAGCCTTTCAGGATATCTCTGAAGATAAAGAGAGACAGAGCAGTAATGTACGAGGAAAATTCCAAATTACCATGTGGTCAGTGTTTGGAAAATAGACAACTTAACATTAGTGGCAGCAATTATGTTACGAAAAGTGTTTCTGTTAGAAAGACTTACAGATGTTCCTGCCCTCTATTGGAGAATAATTTCAGTATCTCTCCCCTCATACTAACTTGTTTCACTTTGTCCTTTCTTGTATAGTTATTTGTTACACTCATATATTAATTCAATATAACCTACTTAGGAAGACTTGAGTTGACATGAGTATAATTGGACCCTGACTACCTATATATTTCAACAACAACAAAAAAAGGCATTTATCAGTAGTCAGACATACTTTATTATTCTATCATTTGCTCAATTTATTGTTTTGTGTTTCTTTTTTTTTCATTTTTGTTTTTTTCTTTTTTGAGAGACAGGGTCTCACTCTGTGAGTCAGGTACTTGACTAGGGAGGCCAGTTAGTACAGTGGTATCATCATAGCTTACTATAACCTCAAATTCCTGGACTCAAGAGATCCTCCTGCCTCAGCCTCTCAGGTAGCTGAAACTACAGTATACTCCACTGTGCCTGGCTAATTTTTATATTTTTATTTTTGTAAAGCTGGGGGGGGGGGGTCTCACTGTGCTGCTCAGGCTGGTCTCGAACTCCTGGCCTCAAGCTGTCCTCCCGCCCTGGCCTCCCAAAGTGCCGGAGTTACAGGTGTGAGCCACCATGCTGAGTCATTTGCTCAGATTTGTGTGTGTGTGTGTGGCCTCTTGGTTGTTTAAAACGAAAGACTTTTCAAAGAGCAGTTAGCTGATTAAATAACGAATTCATGCAGTTGTTCAGCAAATGTTATTCTTTAAGTTAAATACTGTCCATTTTTAACTAGGAATTCTGTTTCATCTGCTAGGCATATGCATGGATAGAAATTACTAGATATCTTGGTGTATCTTCATTGAATCTTTCTGTTCTGTTTCTTAATTGTTTAACATCTTTACTATTGTATATTAGTATTTGTGGTCACCATTTGATCTTTATGGTACTTTCTCTTTGATGATTAGCACTTGGCAAGTTATCCTCTTTTTCAGTGCAAGTTCTGTTGAAACCCTCACTGTGTCCAGCCACAGCAATAGGCCTCAGAGTCCATTTCTCAACCTGAAGCATTGTCTGTCTTTACATTTTAAACAAGCCCTATGTCATAGCATAATGAAGTAGGGGGGAAAAACCCCATCACTCACAATTTCCTATGCTTAACTGGCATTTATCTGAGAGACATTTTGGTCCTTGACTTGTAAGGATACTTGATTACTGGTATTAGACCTGCCAGTCATCCTCTCTGTTCTTAAGAAAGTCACTTGAGCAACTAGCTTTATTTTTCAGTTTTCTTATCTGGCAAAAAGTGAGATTAATATGTTCCTTACCTATTTCATAGGGTTGTTGTGTATCAAATAAGAGAATGGCCTTGAAAATGCCTTGAAGAACTGATGGCAGTGACAGTGGCTGCCATCCTTGCATGGCCAGGCACTTCGTGGTACATTTGCTGTGTTTGCACCTGTGATTGTAGTGCTCTTGGGTTAGCCACTACTGTGTCCATTTAAAACTGAGGACACTCTTATGAGACAGATAAAGTATTTGGGGATTTTCAAGGGAAGGAATAGTTGCTTCTGGCTGGGATTCAGAAAACACTTCCTGGACAAGGCGATATTTTGGCTGTCTTGTAGCAGTTATGGAAAATGTTGCCTGGTAGCACTAAAATGGCCTTTCATGTACTCAACATCTAATTGCAAAGCATTGTTCTTTGTTTGTAAAATGAGTATATCCCCTGCTTGGATTAAAAACTTACTTCTGCCAGGCATGGTGGCTCACGCCTGTAATTCCAGCACTTTGAGAGGCTGAGGCAGGAAGATCACTTGAGCCCAGGAGTTCAAGACCAGCCTAGGCAACAAAGTGAGACCCTGTCTCTCCAAAAACATAAGAAAATTAGCTGGATATTATGGTGGTGCTAGCCTGTCATCCCAGCTACTTGAGAGGCTGAGGTGGGAGGATCCCTTGAGCCCAGGTTATTGAGGCTGTAGTAAACCAAGGTCACACCACTGTACTCCAGCCTGGGCGACAGAGCAAGACCCTGTCTCTAAAAATAAAATAAAAGCTTCCTTCAAGCACATTTTTGGTATAAGTTGCGCCTTGCTTTTTTCTCTCTCAGACAAGAAGGAGCTTACCCTGCTTTATTTTCTCCTGGGAAGGAAGGCCATGGAGGGTGTTTTGTAGAAAGAGCTTTAGAATGCTCGGTGGAAAGGATAGCCCTGTTCCTGACTTACTGTCACAGCCATGGGAGCGCTGCTCGGTATTGCTTCCAAGGGCTATTTAGTCACCACATGAGCTGCTGTGTGCAGCACTGCAGTGGTAGCCAACATCATAAAATGTTATTCTACAAGTTATTTGGTGCTATAGATCTTGATCAAAATTCATAGTTACTAGAATATTGTCAAGATTTATCATAGAAATCTTCGAAGAAACTGTAGTCAGGCAGTATGATGCATCTTAGATACATAAGTATTTCTTCTGTAATACTATTTATGTATTTCTATAATAGCCTGCATTTATAAAATCTGTCAGGGTCTATGGGGACTTGAGCTGCCCAAGACAAGAATTTGTTTCTGAAGAGAACTTGTGCTGCTTGGGCAGGCAGCTGAGCATGGCTGGGGGCTGCCACAGTGCCCAGAACCAAGAGCCTGTACTCAGCTGGCACACTTGAACTTGAGCAGACCGTTGGTGCTTGACAGCAGAAGTGGCCCTGGAGCCCTGACAGCTGCTGCTGTCAGTGGGGGACAGGGGAGGCTTGAGGCCTGTGCAGTGCTGGGAATGAACCCTGAGTTGAGTATAGGTACAAGTTTTAAAAATTCTTAAATTATGTCTCAGAATGCTCCTGTGGCCACTGTAGCTCCTAAATCTAGGGCTTTTCCCTTTGCTTCTGAAGACTCTAATTCTGCACAGACTGCGCTGCCTGCCCTGCTGAGGAAAAAAATTTTGTGGACTGAAGTGACCTCCACATTATCCTGATTTCTTTTCCAGTTTACCAATGGAAGATGAGCTACTTTTCATTCACAGAATGCCTGTTGTGGCGAAGCATCTGTGTGTTCACTTCTTAGTGCCTTTCTTTACAAGTTGGTTTCATTCCTCTGTTCCCTCCCTAGAGTGACTAGCAGAAACTCGTTATATGCTGCTTGTACATTGTGCTTATTCATATCCTTCCCCCATTCTGTTTTCTTGCCTTAAGAAATAGTTGTCCAAGACAGTGCTCAGGGGAGGCAAGGTGACCCAGGGCCCAGTATATGGGCATGTGCCATGGACACCGAGATAAAGAAAGGGATGAAAAATTTGGGGTTGAATGTGAAATGAATGAAGAAAAAGTGAGAGGGAGAAAGAAATAGAAACTCAATTAAACTGTACAATTAAAATCTTAGCACTGTCTAAATATTAATTTTTATTCACTATTAACCAGTTGGCTGAAGTGGTAGAGAAACTCACATTAGTGAATATCTGATATTAACAAGGCAGTATGTTGTACACTTCATTTTTGTTGTTCTCAATTTATGTATTTTTTTTTAGTTAAAAAGCACAGAGAGTAATAGAAACACGTAAGCAGACTCACTGCCTAGAATTAGTAACACATGTCAATCCTTTGTCTTTTTTTTTTTTTGTTTCCCATACTTTTGTAACAGAAACAATATGACACATAAATTTGAAACCCTCTGGGTTCCCCTCCTGAGTCATACTCCTCTTTCTGTCTCCTTAGAGACAGTGGCTTTTATGACTTTTCTGTGAATCCTTCTATTTATATTTATATTTTTATACTTATCTTGTATTCATAAACAATATTGTATTGATTTCTTTAAAATTACATTGTAGGTGTCATACTCTGTATATCCTGTTTATCCCCTTTCATTTCTTGAGACCTCTTCATCTGATTCTTACACATCTAGTTCACCTCATTTTAAGGTGCCGTACAGTGTTCTGTTGTATGAACACACCATAGTTTACCCATCTTACTGATTTATGCTGGGTGCAGTTTTCTACTCTTATAAACAACGCTGAGATATGTATCCTTGTTTAGGTATACTGGTGCATCTGACAGTTTCTGGGTACCTACCTAAGAATTCTGGGGTATAGGCTATGCACACTCTCAACTTCAGTTATCTCATTTAATCCGAACAAATGTTTCCTGGGGCAGGTGGCAGGATCTGCATTTTACACATAAGAGAATTGAAATGTTGAATGCCATGGAACTTGGCCAACTTAATAAGGAAACCAGTACTTGAATCCAGATCAAATTCCACCCATTTCAATCTAGAGCTCTAATACCCAGCAGTCCACATAACTCTTCAACTGTTAGCCCTTCTGATCATTGGAACAGTTGCAGCCAGCTAGTAACATACATGATTTCAAAGCAGAGAATCAAAACATAATAAAGAGGAGGGTCCATCCTTAAGAAGAAGAAGGAGAATCCACAGTGGCCATATTCTCCTTGTGGTCATCAAAGGATTTGAGACTTGGAGTAAAAAGCGTGCTCCTTAAAATGATAGGTCTAAGGTTTCTATTTATACAGGCCTATTTCTTCATGACAGAAGACTGTTTATTTTATGTTGCTTAAAATCTGTTTATTAAATGCAACATGCAAGCCTATTTTGATTAAAGAAAAGTGTTATAGTGAGCATGGTAGTGTCTCTGTTTTACTTTGCAAAATGTGGAGACCATTTTCTCCAGGTGAAGAGTGCTATCTGCATGTGGATCTTTTTTTCATGACACTTTATTCACGCTTGAATCATCTGTCTTTTGATTTCATTTTTGCTTTGTTCTTTTCTTCAACTTCTAGGTAGAAAATCTGGTGTATTAACTGTGAAAATTTTAGAGCTGCACGAGGAATGTGCCATGCAAGTTGCCATGTGTGAGCAGTTATTGGGGCCACCAGCCACCAGCCCCTCCCGAAGTGTGACCCCCAGGCCTGGAGCTGGCCTGAAAGTTCTCTTCACCAAGGAGACTGCAGGCTACCTCAGGAGCCGTCCCCAGGACACTGTCCGGATCTTCCCTCCCTGGTGAGTGCATAGAACTGAATCCAGCAGTCACCAACTGTGAGTCAGCCTCATAAGAAAGACATTTTTATCAGGAACATTTTTGTCACTTTATCATAGAGCAATGCCAGAGGAAGAGGGCCAGGATTGGACATGGGTTTTCTGTCAGAGAAGCACTGGATTGTCTCTGATGGCTCGTTTCCACTTCTGTCAGCAAATTTCTGATAATTTGGGGTGAGAGGGTTGAGGAAACAACTGTATTAAGATTCTTGCCCAAGGATGTGTTATAAGATCTGGCTGTTTTTGTTTTTATGTTTCTTAGAAAAATAATTTTGTTAACAGGCATTAGGTGACAATAGGATAACACATTAATTACATATTTCTTAGTCACTTGAGAGGGAAGAATAAAAAGCATGAATTAAGATATACTAGTGTTTGAATTGCAGGAGCAAAAGTGGTCATTATTGGATCAGAAAGTATTTTAAAGGTTACTACGTTTGCTCTCTTTTGCAGTGGGATATTGATTTTTAGCATGAATAGAAGAAAATCATACTACTTCTGAGGAAAAGTTTGAACACCCTTGTTTTAAGAGCTAGTTATTAATTTGCTGGTAATTTTTTATAAGTTTTCATTGTGTTTGAGGAAGGGCTATAGGATAAATTTTTATAAGTATTATTGCTAGATCAGAGGATGTGTGCCTCTTTAATTTTAGCAGACTTTGTCAAATGGCACTATTTTATGTTCCCACTAGCAATGCCTGAAGTGCCTTTTTCTTCTCCTTTACAAACCTACTCTATTGATCTAGACCAAGTTAAAAATTGGAACTATGATGTTTATCATTTTAATTTGTATTTCTCTTACATAAAATGGGCTTGGGCATATTTCTCCATGTTTAAGAATCATTTGTATTTCATTTTATGTCCATTGATAACTTTTGACCTTTCTTCTCTTAGACTCTCGGTCCTAGTGATTTCTACCAACTTTTTATATGTGATTAAAAAAAAAAAAAGTAGCGCCTTGTCAGTCATATACATTGCAGTTAGTTCATTCCCCATTTGTCATTTGACTTTTGACGTTTTTAGGGGGCAGGGGTTTGTTTTGTTGCTTTGTTTTTGATGAGCAGAAATTTTCTGTTTTTCTGTGGTTGATTTTACCCATCTTTTCTTCTGTGGGTTTTGTGTCATTGATAGAAAGGTTTTCCTTACTATGAGGTATAAAAGTTATTCTATGTTTTATTCTAAGACTTTTATGGATTTAAAAAAATTTTACATTTAAGTCTTTTGACACTCCTAGAATTTATGTGTAATATGTGAGGTAGTGAATGTAATTTTATTTTTTTTTAAATGGCCACCAGGAGTCCCAACATTATTTATTGAACATTCTGTTTTTTCTTCATATGATTTTAATGCTGCCTTTATCATGTACTAAATACCTACATATATTTTGGGCTATTTGCTCTTTTAATGTAACTGTATTTGCACATGCTAGTATTATACTATTTCAATTACTATAGTTTTATATGGTGTTTTAATAACCGCTGGGACTACTCACATCTCATTAAGCTTAATTTTTAGAACTTTCCTCCTAATAATTGCTTCCTTTCTTTTTTGCTTTAAATATTTGCCTTTAACATTTATTTTCAAATATGCATTGTAAAAGTTAATTCAGAAATATATAACTTAGAAAGTGAATCCTCTTACCCCCACCTCTTCAATTAATCACACTCATTGTAGATGACTGCTGTTAACAATTTGGAGTATAATCTTCCAACATTTTTTTAAATTCTTAAATATTCAATTATGTGTTTAACACATCCCAGTGACTATACGTAATCTATATGTAAGTTATGTAATCCTGCCTATTTTTCTATAATAACTTTAGGTTTAACTTACTGGATTAAAAACAGATTGATAGGTTTTTTAGGGTAGGTTAATCTCTGCATTCACGGAGTAGGGCTTTAAAGGTAGTGTCTGGCCAGGGTTCTGACGTGATGCTCCCCTCTCCGTGTTCATGGAGTGCACAGCAGCACAGGACTTCTATCAGCATCTCTCTTACCTTGAACCTGTCTTCCCTCCTTCAGAAATCAGTCCTCATTCGGGTCTTCTTTGTTCACCCCTTGGTTTTACTCCCTTGTGGAATTTAGCTCTTTCATTAGTATCTAAGTTCATTTGTGGTGGCAGAGCCTTTTATTGTTATTATTTTTAAAAAATCTCCTCCCTCCTCAGCTTTTTAAATTATTTTTTTCTTTTTCTATTTTTTGTAGAGACAGAGTCTTGTTATGTTGCCTAGGCTGGTCTCAAACTCCTGGCCTCAAGCAGTCCTCCCACATTGGCCTCCCAAAGTTCTGGGATTATAGGCCTGAGCCACCAGGCCTGGTCCCTTCTCAACTTCTGATTTTTTCGGCACACCTTTATATGTTTTAAAATGCATTTATTAAATGACCTTGTTTTTTAAATACCTAAATATGATTATTTTCCTTCAGGGAAGATGTTTTAGAGGCTTTAAATGTAGGACATTTTCTTGGGCTTATGAGAAGTAAAATTAGATCAAGCTTATCTACAAAGATTTATATGACCAAGAATTTCTAAATCCCAGTGACTCCTTAGACTTTACAAGTAAATGAGTTATTATCATTAGACTTTGGAATGTTTGTTGGTCTGGATCTTACCAAACAACCCCTGGGTGTTACTCTCCGCAGGAATGCCTGTGGGCTGTCAAGTGATTATTTGCCTGTATTCAGCATATAATACTTAAGAAAATAGAAGAGGCCAGGCGCGTTAGCTCATGCCTATAATCCCAGCAGTTTAGGAGGCCAAGGCAGGCGGATCATTTGAGATCAGGAGTTCGAGACCAGCCTGGCCAACACGGCGAAACCCCGTCTCTACTAAAAACACAGAAAGTGGCTGGGTGTGGGTGGCGTGTGCCTGTGGTCCCAGCTACTTGGGAGGGTAAGGTGAGGGAATCACTTGAGCCCAGGAGATGGAGGTTGCAGGTAGCCAAGATTGCACCATTGCATTCCAGCCTGGGTGACAGAGCAAGACCCTGTCTAAAAAAAAAAAAAAAAAAAAAAAGCACAACAAAAAAAACACCCCCATGCTTAATGAAAGAAAACCAAACTAATTTTTAAAGGACTAGTCTTTTTTTTTTTTTTTTTATGGAAACTTGAGAAATAATAGTGAATATATTTTTCCTTGTGAGCTGGCTGTCCTTTTCCCACTAGCACCCTTCTGTGTTCATTTAAACTGGTTTTTAACATGGGCACAGTTTTTTAAAAGAATCAGTAGACTTTAGATGCTCCTATTGGTCCTGGAGTAATGAATGTGAGTTTAGGTATAATGGCTGCTTACCCCGAGGTGCTCAAGAGCCCTCTGTAGATATTACTTGATAAATTCTCATTGGATTCCAATGAGATGTAATGCAGCTTTGCCTCTGGCAATCTGAAAATAAAGATAGAAGTAAAATGTCTTGCCTCTAATTAATTGCATTATGAAATAGTCACAGAATTGTATAACAGTAACCAACTTATTAAAAAATGCATTAATCTATGTAATTTCAGACATATAAAAATAGTAAAATGAATCCCATGTCCCATAGTTTCAACATTTATTAACTAATGAATAAACAGCTTTTACTACTCAAGCAAACTGAAAGCTTTATAATGATTCCAAAGAAACATCTCACCACTTGAACACAGATATAGTAGAAAAAACAAATGAAGGAATTTACTATAATGATATTGGGGAGAGAGGAAGGTAGAAACCATCTGCCTGATTACATCCTGCCATGAAATCTAATGCCAGAATGAGGGTGGGTGAGAGGTTAAGTGTGTGAGAGTGTATCCAGGGACAACCAGGACACCTCTCATTCTTTCAGAAGTATTTATTGGTATCCCCTGATACCAATACTTTGCTTCTCCTCAGAATACACATCCCAGTATGCTGGAAGAGTGAAGTCTGACTTTCCCTATTGTCATGAGTATACCCTTCCATCGGTCCATTCATATCGTCATCTTTTTAGTCACTACTTAGTATTCCACTATATGAATATGTGGTAATTTAAACATCCTCTTATTTAGGATTGTTAAGGTTACTTTCTATTTTTAGCTGTTTTAAACACTGCTTGGGTGAAATATTTATCATTATACCTCCCTTCTGATTTGGTTCTTAGACTATTTCTAGAAGTAGAAATTCTTGGTCATAGAATACCAGTGGGTTTTGAGCCTTTTGATATATGATTTCCCTAGTAACCTGTAAAGATTGAAGCTGTCTCAGCTGCTGCCAGTTTCTCATCACACCACATTCAACATTTTTTATGGCTGCACAGTGTGATATAATTTTTAAAACACTTTCCATATTCTCAGGATATGGTACATATTGGTTCTTTTACTATCATAAACAGCTATGTGGTAGATATTGTTATATATGTAGTTTGGTATGTACTTCAGATACTGTTTCAAAGTAGGTTTTAGGAACTGTTTTAGTATAGTAAAGGGTATGTGTTTTGTTTTTGCTGTTGCTGCTTTGACTCCTTGATATTGTTAAGTCATCTGTAAACCTCATAGCAGAGTCCCTACAGCTGGTCGCATTGAATATAGCCCACTTCATTTTACTGTGCTTTTTTGCTTTTATAGCACTTCACCCATGTTTCACTTTTTACAGATTGAAGGTTTGTTAACCCTGAATCCAACAAGTCTCTCAGTGCTATTTTTCTAACAGCATGTGCTCACCTCATGTCTCTATATCACATTTGAATAATTATCCCAATATTTCAGAGTTTCTCATAATTATTATCTGTTATGGGGATCCGTGATGTGTGATCTTTGATATTGCTATTGTAATTATTTTGAGGTGCCATGAACCATGGCTATATAGGATGGCAAACTTAATTGATAAATACCATGTTTGCTCTAACTGCTCCATCAACCAGATGTTCCCCCATCTCACTTTCTATCCTCAGACCTCCCTATTCCATGAGACACAACAATATTGAAATCTGACCAGTTAATAACCCTAATATGCCCTCTA